CCCCCAGCCCCCCGCAGCAGCACCACGGGGGGCAGCCCCCCGGCCGTCCCCACCACTGCCAGCCGTGGGGATTGGGAGGAGGGCGCCCCCCCGCCTGCCACCAGCACTTCAGGGGGCTGTGGCTGGACGTTGGGGTCCTCTGTGGCCTGGAGATGGACATTTGTCACCTCCGTGGGCTTGAGGTGGACGCTGGGCACCTCCACGGTCTTGAGTTGGACGTTGGGCACCTCAACAGTCTTGAGCTGGATGTTGGGTACCTCCATGGTCTTGAGTTGGACACCGGGCAGCTCCATGGTCTTCAGTTGAATGTTGGGCACCTTCATGGTCTTGAGATGGATGTTGGGCACCTTCTCCATGGTCTTGAGTTGGACGTTGGCCACCTCCATGGTCTTGAGTTGGATGTTGGGGACCTCCTCTGTGGTCTTGAGTTGGACACCAGGCACCGCTGCGGTCTTGAGATGCATGTTAGGCATCTCCATGGTCCTGAGTTGGACGCTGGGCACCTCCAAAATTTGGTGACAGGTGTTGGGCACCTCTGTGGCCTGGAGATGCACATCTGCCACCTCCATCGTCTTCAGTTGGATGTTGGGAACCTCCGTGATCTTGAGATGGATGTTAGGCACCTCCATTATTTGGTGACGGACACTGGACGCTTTAGTGTCTTGGAGATGGACATTGGTCATCTCCATGGTCTGGAGATGGAGGCTGGGCACCTCTGTGACTTGGAGATGAACACTGGGCACCTCAGTGGTTTGGTGACACACACTGGGCACCTCAGTGGAGGTGGAGATGGTCTGGAGATGGATATTGGGCACCTCTGCGGCCTGGAGATGGACGCTGGGCACCTCCATGGTTTGGTGATGGATGTTGGTCACCTCGGTGGCCTGCAGGTTAACACTGGTCACCTTTGTGGTCTGGAGATGGCTGTTAGGCACCTCAGTGGTTTCAAGATGGACACTGGGCACCTCAGTGGTTTCAAGATGGACATCGGGCACCTCTGTGGTCTGCAGCTGGATGTCGGGCACCTCCATGGCCTGGAGCTGGACATCAGGCACCTCTGTGGCCTGGAGCTGGACATCGGGCACCTCTGTGCTCTGCAGCTGGACGTCAGGCACCTCCATGGCCTGGAGCTGGACATCAGGCACCTCCGTGGTCTGCAGCTGGACGTCAGGCACCTCCATGGCCTGGAGCTGGACGTCAGGCACCTCTGTGCTCTGCAGCTGGACATCGGGCACCTCCATGGCCTGGAGCTGGACATCAGGAACCTCCATGGCCTGGAGCTGGACATCAGGCACCTCCATAGCCTGAAGCTGGATGCTGGGCACCTCTGTGGTCTGCAGCTGGATGTCAGGCACCTCCGTGGCCTGAAGCTGGACATCAGGCACCTCTGTAGTTTGGAGATGGATGTTGGTCACTTCTGTGGCTTGGAGATGGATGTCAGGTACTTCCGTGGACTGGAGATGGACATCTGTCACCTCTGTGGTCTGCAGCTGGACGTCAGATACTTCTGTGGCCTCAAGATGGACACTGGGCACCTCTGAGGGCTGTGGCAGGGCTTGGAGCTGGATGTTGGTAATGCCCGAGGGCTGTGGAACGGCTTGGAGCTGAACATTTGTCACCTCGGTGGCCTGCAGCTGGATGTTGGTGACATCCAAGGGTTGCGGTAGGGTTTGGAGCTGAATGTTGGTCACCTTGGAGGGTTGTGGCAGGGCTTGGAGCTGGATCTTGGTGACATCCAAGGGTTGTGGCAGGGCTTGCAGCTGGACATTTGTCACCTCTGTGGCCTGCAGCTGGATGTTGGTGACATCGGAGGGTTGTGGCAGAGCTTGGAGCTGGACGTTGGTCACGTCGGCAGCTTGGAAGTGGATGTTAGTGACGTCCAAGGGCTGTGGCAGAGCTTGGAGCTGGACATTGGTCACTTTGGAGGGTTGTGGCAGGGTTTGGAGCTGGATGTTCGTCACCTCAGCAGCTTGAAGCTGGATGTTGGTGACATCTAAGGGCTGCGGCAGGGATTGGAGCTGGACGCTTGCCACCTCTGTAGCTTGGAGCTGAACGTTTGTCACCTCGGCAGCTTGGAGCTGGATATTGGTGACCTCCAAGGGTTGTGGCAGGGCTTGCAGCTGAACGTTGGTCACCTCGGCTGCCTGCAGCTGGACGCTGCTCACCTCGGGGGGCTGCGGTGCCCGCAGGGGGAGGACACTGCCAACGCCACCCCTCAGGACAATGACACTGGCCCCCGCCGGGGTCCCTGCCACGGCCTGGAGCTGGATGCCGGGCAGCGCCTGCCCCGTGCCTGGTACCAAGAGGATGCTCTGCCCAGCGGCAGGGGGTCCCAACGCCCGGGGGCCCTTCCCCGCCTGGGGTGAGGGACCCTCAGCAGGCAGTAGGGTGAAGGCAGGGGGCTCGGCTGGGGCACTGGGCAGCAGCAGGAGCTTCCGCGGGGGGGTCGGGGGGCTGGGGATGAGCTGCAGGCCCTGGGGGGTCTGCACCAGCAGGAAGGTCTGGGGTTCGGGGGGAGGCAGAGGGGGACGGCGGGGAGTCCCGCGAGGACCGGGGGCGTGGGTGCGGAGGTGACGCTGGAGGTAGGAGGCCATGACAAAGGCCTTGGGGCAGAGGGGGCAGCGGTAGGGGCGCGCGGCGGAGTGGGTGCGTCGGTGGAGCTGGAGGTTGGAGGAGTGGGTGAAGGTCTTGCCGCACTGGGGGCAGGCGTAGGGCCGCTCCCCCGTGTGGACCCGCTGGTGCTGCCGGAGGTTGGAGGTTTGGGCGAAGGCTTTGCCGCAGACGGGGCAGGCGTGGGGCCGCTCGCCGGTGTGGAGCTGGCGATGGCGGCGCAGGCAGGAGGTGTTCTTGAAGGCTTTGGGGCAGTCGGGGCAGCGGTAGGGCCGCTCGCCGGTGTGCTGCCGGAGGTGGTACTGGTAGTGGGACGCCCACTTGAAGGTGAGACCGCACTGGGCGCACTCGAAGGCCCGCAGCCCCGTGTGGACCCGCTGGTGGGTCTGGAGGAGGGAGGACCGCTTGAAGGCCTTGCCGCACTCGCGGCAGGCGTAGGGCCGCTCGCCCGTGTGGTCCCGCATGTGGTACCGCAGCCCCGAGGAGCCCTTGAAGGCTTTGCCGCACTCAGTGCACTGGTAAGGGCGCTCCGGAGCGGGCTGGGACGCTGCTGGGGGGTGAGGAGCCTCGGGGAGGGGACGCGGTGGGACAGCGGCTGGGTGGCTGCGTTGGTGGCCCAACAGCCCTGTCAAATGGGTGAAGGTCTTTGGGCAGACGGTGCACTTGAAGGGCCGCTCAGCAGCGTGGCCGTGCCGGTGCCGGGCCAGCCCCGAGCTGTTCTTGAAGGTCTTGCCGCAGGTGGGGCAATGGTGAGGGGTGGCTGGCGGCGTCACGATTGTCACCGAGTGGCTGCTTTGATGTCCCAGCAGCTCCTCCTCACTGGTGAAGCTCAGGGGGCAGGTGGAGCAACTCCAGAGCGTCTCTGGTGGGGTGGCGGGGGCTGGGAGGAGCGGTGGCATGGCGGTGTGGCTCTGTAGGTGTTTCTGCAGGCAGGTGTCAGACACGAAGGCCTTGGAGCAGGTCGGGCACTCGTAGGACTGGGTGGTGGCGTGGGTGCGTCGGTGGAGGAGGAGGTTGGAGGAGTGGGTGAAGGTCTTGCCACACTGGGTGCAGGCGTAGGGCCGCTCCCCCGTGTGGACCCGCTGGTGCTGCCGGAGGTTGGTGGCTTGGGCGAAGGCTTTGCCGCAGACGGGGCAGGCGTGGGGCCGCTCGCCGGTGTGCGTGTGCCGGTGCCGGCGGAGGCTGGAAGAGTTCTTGAAGGCCTTGGGGCAAGCCGGGCAGCGGTAGGGCCGCTCGCCGGTGTGCTGCCGGAGGTGGTACTGGTAGTGGGACGCCCACTTGAAGGTGAGACCGCACTGGGCGCACTCGAAGGCCCGCAGCCCCGTGTGGACCCGCTGGTGGGTCTGGAGGAGGGAGGACCGCTTGAAGGCCTTGCCGCACTGGGGGCAGGCGTAGGGCCGCTCGCCCGTGTGGCCCCGCTGGTGGTAGAGGAGGGCGGAGGAGCCCTTGAAGGCTTTGGGGCACTCGGGGCACTTGTAGGGCCGCTCTCCCGTGTGGCTGCGTTGGTGGTGGGCCAGACGGGAGGACCACCTGAAAGCCTTCCCGCACTCCCGGCAGGCGTAGGGCTGGTCGGGCGTCCCTGGAGCCCCGGCCTGGGATCCGGCTGGCCCCGCTGGTGGCGTGGCTCCCGCCATGGTGACAGCCCTGGGGGTCGGGGACACGTTGTGGGGGGGTGGGCAGGGTGCGACATCCCTCCCCACACCCCCCCCCGCCATCTCAGAGGGACCCGGACACGTGTCCAGGGAGGGAGGGTGCGTGGCCTCGCCGGGTAGGGCGGAGAAGGGGAATAGGGGCGTGGCCTCGCCGCAGAAGCTCCGCCCCCATCCGCCAGCGTTCCCCCGGCCACGCCCCCACCGTCGAGCTTCCCCCCTCAGGCCCCGCCCCTGACCTGCTTTTCCCCAGGCCACGCCCCC